ATATAAAAGAAACAATAAAAAAACAATCAATCAGAAATTTATCGTTATACTCTAACTTTCTGTCACAATGAGATTAACAATAATCAGGTATCAAAAACAAAAGATATATAAACATACAAATTTAATATAACTACACATACGTATATTTACATCTATAGATGTTCTCAATAAGGCAGAAAAAAAAGGAAGTAAGTGCATTTTCTACTTACAATTATTGTGATGAAGAATTAAGAGCAGCACGTTTTCGATTGGGTATTTCTTCATTTGTATAATTAGTAGCAGCAGCATTTTCAGTTTGATCAACTATAAGTGATATTGAATGAATCGGAACATTTGATGAATTATGACTAGAATAATTCATTGTATCATTTATTGATTTAACATTGATCGCTTCTTCATATGATGGTGGGATATCTACATGACACAAAAAAAAAAGTCAACAGAACTATTAATCATGCTTCATTATTTGATTGAAACAAAAACAGAAACAAATATTTACCTATAGGTCGCAAAATACTTTGTTCATAACTGGGTAAACCCATATGGAATGGACTGGAATATCGATGGAAATCTCTAGAGAAAGAGTAACAAATTAAAATGTAACTATTGTAGGAAGAAAAGAATAACATACCCGCTATTCATACTTGCGAAATTAATTGTACCACAATTTTGAGCTTGAAATCTTGCTTGCTAGAATTATATATTAATAAATTTAAAAGATATTTCGATTAGTTCTTACTCTCATTCTTTGAGCATTGAGCTTTCGTAATGCAGTTAAGATTTTTTCAGCCGATATCCAATACATAAAACCAAATATAATACCGATACCACTTAAAAACAACAATCAACAATTTAATTTAGATTATTGCTATGCTATTTGTTTTTACAAAATCAATACCCGAAAACAATAAATGAAACAGAAAATCTTTGTTTTTCATAAGAAGCAAGTAGAGAACCGGCAACAAGTAATAAAATACCAAAAACTAAAATATACAATAAAAAAAGAAAAAAAAATTTAAATAGTTTATATCGAAATAAAAAACAAAAGAAAACAAACCTAAGAAAATAACTGCTGATATTTTTCTTTTTCTTGCAAGACTTTCAATTCGAGCATTTGGTGCATTATGTGGATTAGCAGATGATGATGTTGCCATTATAATATGAATTGCATTCATTTTAATTCTTGAAGTCTTGTGTATTTACATTCTAAAAAAGGTAAACGATTTTTAATCATACATTCATTCAAGTCTAGGCAGCCTTTTTTTTTTTTGTTGATGCATCTAGTTTAGATCAAGCGATAAATCGTTATAGCACAATCTATCATATAATGAAATCGATTGGTTTAGTTGGTTTAACCAATGAAAAACGACATCTGTTAGGTTATTGTTATTTGTTATTAGTTCATCATTAACTTCTTCAATTCTAGTCAATGTCAGGCAGTGGTACGGAGCGTTCAAATTTTCGTGGTAATCGCCCATTATCATCAAATCCACCGCATTCAATATGTGTGACAGATCGAAAAGTTGTTTCATTTACACATTTATGGACAATCGATCATTTTCAATCATATTTAGGTGAATTATTTTCTTTTTTGTTTTTCTTCTTTAGTTAGTTTCATATATTTATTTTTATAATAGACGATCCTCAATCACCTCGTGTTCTCTTTAGTTCTTATTTTTCTCCAAATTTTGGTCCACATACTGATACAAGGTTAATTAATCATCGAATTTATTTTATTATGTATATGTATTTATTTTATTATTTTTAGTTGGTGTTTAAAACTTTATCCAAAAGGTGTTAATGAAAAATCAGTTGAATATATAAGTTTATTTGTTAAATATGTTCGTGGTCGTACTGATTTACAAGCTAAAGCTGAATTTTCATTAATTAATAGTCGTGGTGAATTTCATATTGTACGTAAGACACCATATCATATATTTCCAACAGGTGGCGATTGGGGTTATTCTGAATATTTAATGCGTATGGTATTAACAACACAACGTAAATCAGAATTATTAAATGCTGATCAAAGTTTAAAAATATTTACACGTGTTATTATTGTTGGTGAATCATCATCATCAATAATACATGAAGAAAAAAAGAATACATATGAAAGTTTAATATCATTATCAACACATTTAAATTCATTATTAACATCAACTACAGATAATTGTCATGATGTTACAATTATTGTGCGACCACAACAATATAATAATTTAACATATGAAAATAAATCTTCACATGATATTCCATCATCATCGTCATCATCATCATCATCATCATCACCGACTGATGGAGGAAAATCATCATCATCGAAAAAGAATAATAATAATTCTAGTTCTGGAAGTCATCGAACAAAGCGTAAACGATATAGTACGAACTCAGGTGGAAGTAGTGGTGCTGGAGAATCATCTGGAGAAACTAGTCATGATGAAACAACTTCAACAGCCTTAGCTCTTTTATCAATACCAACTACAACGACATTTTACGCACATCGAAGTATATTAAGTGTAAGTTTAAATATTAGAATCTAATCGTTTTTTTGTTCAATGAACTTACTACATATTAATTAAAACTTGACTAATTAGAGAAACTCCAAATGTATTTTATTGATTTTCAGTTGATTGTATGTCAGTTGATAAAGTTTAGGCATGCATCGAATTCGAGCTCGGGAACTATTCAACTAGGTAAGATAGGCTCGAGTATTTGGATGATTGTTCAAGTGTTTTCTTGAAGCATATAGACAATCATGGAAACATTCTAAAATTTAGTTAAACTCTGGTATTTCTAAGCATTATTGACCTTTTTAACTATATAACTTACTTCTACTTCCTTTTATTAGTAACGTGAAAATGATCGAAGTTAGACTTAAATCCGAATATTTTAGATTCGGTGCATGCCTGATAAAGGTTCATGTGACTAATAGAAGCTTGCAACAATTTGTACCTGTATCTTGTCTTTACAGATTTATGACATTTTGATTTCAATTGATAGTAGGACATATCGAAAAATCTTAAATCTGCCATAAAATTTTGTTTGTAAATAGATCTCATATGTATTTTAAAAATTTGAAATACTTTTCACTAAAAAGAATGTGTCAGAATAAACCTTGATAAGTATGAGATTTAATTACGAACAAACTTTTATAGTTGAATTTCTTTCTTAAATATCTTAATGGGAGTTGAAAGTTCCGCAAAATTATCATAATTCTAAAACAACAAGGTAGGAGGAAATTGACTCTTGTAAATTTCTGTTAGACTTGCTTACTGATATTTAGTGAATTGAGCAAAGACAAGTAACTTGAGAGCTTTCTTCGGAAGATAGTTTTGTTTAATGAGAAGTGAAAATACAATTAATAAGAAGAAAAATTATAAGTTAATCACATTTCAATAGATGATTAAACATCACATGATCTTCAAATACAGTCGAAACTAACTATATATAACTCGAGTTTTTATTATTTAAAAGTATCATTGATGATTCGATAACTCTCTGTTTCGAAACTATCCTTTAGAAATTTTAGACTTTCGTTTTACAACAAAACGACTTATGCATATCAAATAGGTTAGCTTTGAAAATCTTCCCATGAGTGAAATAAAAGTACACATAAAACACTTTACGTACTAACGTTTTTGGATTACATGAATTTCGGTTTAATCAAAACATCATACAGGACTTCTCGCATGGGCTCAAGTTCTTCTCACTAGTTTCGTTAAAAATTCTGAATCCTACAAACGATTAGTACATTCCATAGTGCTTAACGGCATGCATTTTCAATAAAGCATCATGCTCAACAAAATCACGTAATCCATCAAGTACAAGTATGTATTCACATTAGATGACCTTTGATATTGTGAATTTCTAAGTAATTAATTGAGTAAACTAACAACTGACAGCTTCAACTGAAGTATTTCATCGACGACACTCGTATAGCATTATTCGTCTGTTACCATACAATGTCATTTCTCGACATGCAATTTGCGGAGCAAAACACTATAAACATGATGTTATCTAAATGCGTGCCGTTAATAAGTACTTCTTAGTCAAAGTGAATGCAGCTCTAGAACTGTATTGTCTTACTGTGCACTATGCTGTCTTAAAGAGCACTATATCGCCCTGCTGGGCACTATGCTTTAATGGAAATGTATACCGTCAAGTACTGTGAAGTGCACCTAGTTATTTATAGAAATAAGGCTTTTTATGAGAACGAATGACAGAAATTTCGAACATTGCTAAAATTCTGATCTTTCAAGTTTTTTCTATTGAGTTGTAATTCAAGTCTTATTAGATAAAATGCTAAAGTCAGAGAAATCTTTCATATGATTTTCTGAATTGAAAAAGGAATTTTTTTTGAAGTACATAGTAAATTACCTTTTTGCACGTACTTCTCTTGTATTTTATCGGCCATAAATTAGTTTTCAATATTCAAATGAATATTTTTTTTTTTCTATATTTTAGGTTCGTAGTCCTGTTTTTGCTGCCATGTTTTCCCATTCAATGCTTGAAGGTCAAAATTCAACCATTGAAATAACAGATTTACAACCTGAAACTGTTCGTGCTTTACTTGAATATATTTATACGTCAAATGTTGAAGAAATTGATGAACATAATGCCGTAGAAATTTTTAAAGCAGCTGATAAATATGAATTAGAATTTTTAAAACAAAAAGCTGAATTAATAATGATGAATTCCTTGTCTGTATCCAATTGTACAATGCTTTATATAGTTGCTGATTTACATAATGCACATGAATTAAAAAAACGTGTTTTAAATTTTATTATGCGTAATATACTTGAAGTAACTGAAAGTGATGATTGGCGTTTATTAGTTGAACAACATCCAGCATTAGCGACAGAAGCATTTGTTTATTCAGCTGAACATGCTGCTTCATGTGCTTGTTCTTCCTAACTAAAAAAAAACGAAATTATTCATTCTTTTTTTCTTTTTTTGTTTTATCATATGTATATAAATAAAATTGTTTGTGTATATGTACGTTTTAGATGTCAGCTTCACGTTCAAATAATACCGGAACAAACAATGGGAAAGATCAATTTAAGTATGAAAATCATGTTTCTTACAAGAGTCGCAGAAAGTTTCCGTACCGGGTAAAAATTAAATAAACTTCAATCTTTTTGCATAATATGTTGGTTTTACAAATAGAGCTCAGTAAAACATAATCACAATCAGCATTTGAAATTGCTAGGTTTTAATGAAAAGTATCAACGATGAAAACACTAGTCTTTTTCCTTAGGATCTACGAAAAGACTTTTTTGACATATTTCTGGTTTTCAATTGTTGACAGCGTTAATCTACTTTTTTCTTATTAAAAAAAATAAAAAACCGCATGCTTATACTGTATTACTGATAGGGTAATTCAATCCACTGTAATTTTAAGGTGCACAGAAACATGAGTTATTTGGAACGGTTCCTGTACGCATTTCTTCTAAATTGATGATTGTGGTTGCGAAATTTTCAAGAGAAACTTAATTAGAGAATATCACTCCCTGAAAAAAGTTTTGCGACAAACAAGTAAAAATTTACAGGAGAAATGTGTCACTTCGATCATTCCCATAAACTCTCATGTGAAGATTATCCAAAGAATACTTTATAAAACAGGCAAACTTAAATTGTTTGACATGTGATTTTTATTGGTGATAGAGGCCGTACTGACGAGGAAAAGTCTCTAAAGTAATCAATCACTTTTAAGTGGAAACTATACTCAGCCGATCGAGACTAGCCAGTAGGTAAAGATCCTTGAATGATGTGAGTTATTGCACTTTTGTTGCTGAGATAACGAATTTTTAGTAGATTTATCCTGCAGAGCATTACTTTGCAAGCAAAATTATAGCTTTAAATATTGACATTAGATTGGGTTCACATACAGGTTCCGAGCAGAGTAATTTGTAGAAAAAATTTACAATCTTTTGACAAAGCTTCCCTGAAATGTGTACACCTTTTGCCATGGTTATTATTTTGAAAGATCTTTATCTCCAAGAGACTTTCTCAAGAAATCACGAAATTTTTTCTACAAGTTAACCTGATCAAGACCTTTATGGGGTCAAAGTCTCAGGTCAAACTTCAAAAATATGATTTTGCTTCAAAATGTCGAACCACACAGTAAAAATCTACTGAAAATTCGGTATATCAGCAACAAAGCTTCAACAGATTAAATCATTCTAGTATATTTACTTATTGACAAGACTCTATTAATTAGATATAGCTCCAACGTCATGAGATTTGTTTTCTATGTGAATCTTCTAGGTCCTTCGTATAAAGACCAATGAAGTTCTGATGAGTCTTTGCAATCATAGTTCAACATGCTCTATTTGTGGTCAAACTATGAAACTAAAAGATTAAATGTAAAGTATTTTTTTTACCTGGTGGCGAGGCTTTTTATGACCACTATATGTTACATTTTATCTATGATATTTATTTAGTTGGAATACAGTTAAATCAGATAAAGATCGAGAATGTTATTTAGGACATTCAGTAATGGCACCAACTGGTCGTTGGCAAGAAGGTAAAGATTTAACATGGTAAAGTTATAAAAATAAGTGAATTATTAATAAAAACGAAAAATTCTTTTTTTTTTATTCATTAAGGTATGCAAAAAATCGTGATCATGAACAACAAATAAAATCAGCAGAATTTCGTGCAGCAAAAAAAATTGAAGAAGACGCACTTATGGCTGCATTAGGCATGAAAGTTATGCTGCCGCCGCCACTACCACGTTTGTCCTTATTTTTCTAACTTCTTTTCTTAATTAATATAAACTTTTGTTTTAGCTCCTGTTGCAACTTCAACTCAACAAAAATTGACAACTAAACGTGAATCACAATCAACATCAATTAAAAATGAACCAATGACACCAGCCATACATAATGATTCACGTGATTTAAAACAACATCATAAAAATCCAAAACATGATAATCAACGAAAAGAAGATCGTAGACGACGAAGACAATTAAAAGCAACTGGTTCTGATGAAGAAAAACATGATTGGTCAGAAAGTGATGAAGATGGTTTAATAGATGATATTGATGATGAAGAGGATGATAAAGGTTCATTTTGTGTTGTTATTTTTTTTCTTAAATCAAATAATGGATTATCTGTTTTAGCGAAACAATCAATTGAACCAAATACCATGACTGAGAAAGAATTAGATGAATTTCTTATTGATCTTGTCAAGAAACATGGTTTTAAAACAATAAAACGAACATTAAAATCAAAAAAGTCAGTTTTATTCAATGAATATAATTTTCATTTTTGTTTTTTTTTTATGTTATATAGAGAGAAAAAAGAACATAAACGTCAACATTCCTCATCATCATCTTCTTCGCCTTCAGATTCCGAATCAGAATCAAAACACAAACATAAGAAAAAACATAATCATCAAGAAAAATCGAAATCAAAAAAACATCACAGGACTCGTTTATCATCAGAAAAAGATCATTCAAAACAGAATCGAAAATAATAAACTCTTTATTGTTGTTGTACAATTTCATTTTGTTTTTTTCCATGTATTCAAAGTTCAGAACAATAAAGATCATAGTTATTTAAAAATATCTTTATTGTAGATATGTTTAATCGACTGTGTTCAATGGTATTTTATTCTGGTCGTATTCAACGATCATTTACCATATGTCAAACGTTACGTTTACATTCGACAAAAACTTCAACTAATAAAGATTCAAAAAACCCATCAACAAAAAGTAAAACACCTATGGGAAAATTAGATGAATATTCGCATCCAGATGCTGAAAAAAACCCATTAAAACCATGGCCAAATAATACAAATCCAATAACCGGTGAAATTAATGGGCCACGTGGACCTGAACCAACACGTTATGGTGATTGGGAACGAAAAGGCAAATGTGTTGACTTTTAATAGGCGTTTATTTTATCTAGTTAGAATGTTTTTTTTTCAAAATTCTTTATTAATAAATAGATAAACAGGCCATTCAGTGTGAAAATAAAAAGGAGTTCAATGATTATTGGATCGCTTCTTCTGCTATTGAGAGTACAAGCATATTCTAATCAATGACTAATAAGGAAAAGAAAGTTAGCTATTCTTTTACCTTTTAACTTCAGGTATATGTCAAAATTACTGACACTACTAAAGCTGCAAAAAAATATTCAATTCAAATTAAGTTTCATACGAACATTGATTCTGGACTGTGGTTTTTGTTTTCAACTTGAATAGTGTTTTTTGTGGACACGGACATTCATGGTTACTTTGAATTTTATTTATACAAGATGTTTTACCAATAAATATAAAGTTAGTTAGTGCTATCTTCTATATTTAAAGCCAAAGTAACCAGTGTTTTATATACACTCCACTTTCCGAAGGGACAAAATAAAACTCCGAAATGACTAACCCGATCTATGAAGGAACGCTACCATTTCGGTCCTCAAACTGAATAAAATACTGAAGATAGCCGTAGATGTGCATGTCCACATAACATACTATAGTTTATTTTTACATTGAGCAAAATACAATTGTTTATATGAATTCCTTTGAATAAAGAAAATATATTGATCTCATCACATGCATTACGACAGACACAGAAATGACTGTAGTCATTTATGATGTGCAAACAGAACTTAATGGTACATGACAAATCATATTAAATATTTTCTAATTTTTCTAACATAAAACATCGTGATAAATATCAACATTAGTTCTCTCAATTTTATATTATAACGAAGAACTAATGGAATGCAAAAACGGAAAGTGATATTACTAGAAATTCGTTTAGAACAAAAAGTAATTCCGTCACATTTCATGTTCAACAGATATACCGTGAAAAAATTTTCTCTTAATATATTGTTGGTTGTTGAAAAGTAGTCAATAAATGACATGATAATATGAAGTAGATTAATAACAACAAGTATTCTTTTATTCAAGGAAAGTTTTCGATGTCAATACAATATCATCATTAGTGGTTATGATATAAGATATACGTAATTATTTCTTTTGAAGTTTCTTTTCTATCGTTTTTTGCCATGTTCAGAATGAAAAGAAAACACTAGAGAAATAATTGCGTATATTTTGTATCATAACCATTCATGATGATGTCTTATTGATGACAAAAACTATTCTTCATCATATTATTTTAATCACAGAATGTATGTTATTGTTCAATTATTTTATATAATCATAGCTTCTCTTTTTCTATTCTAAAACTTGTACTATTGGTAATACCTAATAGCAACAATCATGTCTAAATAAATTTTTACCATTGCTAGGATTTCTATAAACATAAGAAATCTTAACATGCATTATTTATAAAACAGAAGTTTATATTTAGATAAAGTTTATTGATGAATCTATTGATAACAGATAAAATCTAGATATGATTCCAAATGAAAGAGAAAGAGAGAGAGGAAAAATAATAATAGTAAGTTCAATTAAGTTAATTTAATGTGTATTTTCAAGTGTTGAATTAACCGAACCAGCAACTGAACATGTTGAACTTGTTGGTGATGTCGATGTAGGTAATTTGGGATCATCTTTAGAATCAACATTTTTCAATGAACTATTGCTATGATCACCACAATCAAGTGCACCAGCTTTTCCATTACTAACAGCAGCAGTATTGTCACGATACGGAGCGGTAATAATAAGTCGTTTACCATCATGAAGAAATGAGCGCATATGTTCAACATCAATATTCTAGAAATAATCAAATAAAAAAAATAATGATATTTCATTATCAAAACCGAGGTCAATGATTCCAGATGCCTAGATTTTTCTAGTTCCGGTCTACATCAACCGTTACCAGAAGAGTCGGTCATCAGATTCAACCGATAAATTCCTATCACTTTCTGACTCATGAGAATATTAACTTACGGGTGGTAGTGTAACAGCCTTATAAATATATGAACGAGCTGTATGATGTTTATCCGATGCACTTGATTCAGCCTGAAATTAATTAAAAGATAAGTTTACAAAAAACATATTCAAACTATATATTTACTTGAACAATTAAATCACGATCTTTAAGATGAATTTGAATTTGATCTGGTCGAAAACCAGTCATATCTAATGATAAATCAATTTTCTTGCCTCCTTTTTCTGTATCATCAATAATTTTAGGTTCAAATGCACTCTTAAAAAATTCATCAAAATTAAATTCTTTTAAATTAGCACCAGATTGTTGTAATTGATGATGATGATCATCTATTTAAAACAAATAAAGAATTATTTTCAGTATAATTTATACTAAATGTTTACCTCGTTCTGTAGCCTGTGTAATTAATGGAAATTCAACGACCAATGTACCTAAATAAATATATTAATTAGGTTTTCAGCATAGGCCAAAAAAAAACAATACAAACCTTTTGCAGTAAGAAACGATGTCATATGTTCAAAACTAGCATTTTCAGGTAAATCATACGTTTTACGCATTTCTTTAACCGAAAAATCATCACCTGAGAATAAAAAAAAAATGGAAATTCGATGAAAGTTTGTTTTTTATCCATACCATCACGAAATTCTTGTTTTCCATCAATAAATAATTTACGACCAACAACTTTAACACTTAAATCTTCTGGTTTATAACCATGTACATCTAATGTAACACGAAATTTATCAGTATGAGGTCGTTTTTTATGACCCGTAACTGGACAGAGTTGTTGTTGAAGACGTGGTGGATCTTGTAACCATCTGAATAACAAAAAAGGTTTGATTATAGATATTTGAAACAAATTTATTTCTTGTTTGATATTTACTGAAGAGCACTTTGCATTCGATGCGAAGCTAAATCGATTTCATCAAATGGATCAAATAAATCAAGTGATGGACCTTAATGAAAAAAATATTTTCTAATGAAAACAAACAAGGAAACTGAGACATTGACTAACCGAGAAAATTTTCAAAGTCAAAAAGTTGTCGTGGAAAACGACCAACTGGTAAATGATGATGTTCTTGTGAACAGTGTAATTGTGACATGATGCAGTAGAGAATGTAGTTACTTTTAAGTAATATAACACTCGAATGAACAGATTAACGCGCCTTTACATATTTTATATATCTCTCATTTCTCTTATTCTCTTTTCTTTTATTTTCATTATTGTGACCTAGTTTGACCAATAGACGAAAGCCAAAAAGATAAAATTTGCTTAGTATATTGTTTACATAGATAGATTTCGAATCGAATGGCCGACGGATAAATCGACGACGTCTATTCCTTTTGATATTTGTAGTCAGAGAGAGAGACAAACAAAGAAATATAAGTACACAATGCATTTAGCTAACGATATGTTGACAATAGAATAGTCCGTCAAGGATATTATTAGAAGAATTAAATATATTTGATATTGGGATTTACAAATTGTGTTAATATTCAATTATAGGTTATTTGTAATATGTCATTGGAATAAGAAACTTTTCGAAGTGATTTGTCTTCATTTATTTAAAATATTTGAATAGCAACCATTTATTATCATTAGAGGATATAGACAGTGATCTTCTTCACTTTCTTTGTCTTGTATTTATTCTAATCGCAAATACCACAATTATTTTCAAATTTTAATTGAAATGAATGTTATGAGAAGAATTATTCGGTTATGAAACTATTAAAGATTCATCTATCATTAAATAGAATATTATGTTTATTTCTAAATAAAATTTTGATACAAATAAACGACAAATATCTAAGTAAAGAGTTATATATGATCGTTGTAAATACAACTTAAGGTTGAAAAGAATAAGCTGATATTGATCTGACATGGTGAAGAAATAGAAAAAATTGGCTTAAGGTCTTTCTAAGGTTTTTGAAGGACGGTTCAACAACAATATTTCATAATTGTTTTTACTGGAGTTTCTTTTTTGTAAATGCTGCCAAAAATCAACGGTGTAATATTTTTCAAAAGAAAAAATAATTTGGCATTCCAAACAGTGTCAAATACCTGCAAAAAAGTTTCAGCTCGATCAAATGAAGTATGCTAGAGAAACGGAGACGTTTCTGTACTTTTTTGTGTAAAAATCGGTTTTAAAAAAAATGAAAAATCAATTTTTCTGTATGCATCAGAGTTTTTTCTATGAATAAAGTGATAAAAAAGTGGTCGTTTCAGCATTGTTAGAGGTCTATAGCCCATGATCTTATCATTTATGCAATAAGAAATAATCATTATCACTGGAAGAGTTTTGTATACAAAGAATAATTGCAGTGCAAGTATTTCAGGTAAGGACTTCAAGAATTTGATTTAATAAAATTTCTAACTAATAACGAAGAATTCTTATTTATACGGCATCTGACAGAGGACATTTTAAAGCTATATTAACGATAAAAAACCAAAAATCGACAAATTTTTGAAGTTAATATTCGAAAAGGGATCTCCTTAATTCTTTGACAACGGACTTGCTTTTTAAACAAATACAGTAAAAATCTATTCTTAGCATAGTATACTTTGAAAAATATTGATATTCATATTATTGTACTTAGATTGATTTAACATGTGATATTGCTATCAATAATATCTTTGTCAGAACACAACAAATACTGAAAAGGTCTGTTTTAGTTCATTCCGGCTTCTCCGTCAAAGGGTTACTATTTCAATGTTCTTCTGGAATGTAGAATATTCAAATATCTGCACTCGATGAAGCTAATGTTGTTTTTCCGTGATAGAAGAGACTCAGAGTGTTTTTCCATGAGAAATGTATGACCTTATAAGTCATAACATGAATTTACAATTTTGAAGTATTGTTTTTTTTTTGAAATCCGTATAGAAACAAGCATTAGAAAAAATAGCCAAAGTAATATTTGCTTTCATTTCATTGCACCAAAGAAAAGACAGATATTTATGTTGGCAATTGGAAAGAAAATACAACTATGCATTGTAAAACGAAGCAAATGATCGAATATATTTGTCAAAGAACAAATATATTTATATAGATGGATCTGCTAGAACTATCTTCGATACTATAGAAGATTGAGATTCATTATTGGGACCAATGATGATACTTCAAAGCTATAGTACCCCGACAAAAGTATCCCCCTCGGATCTTAGTTCCGATAAGAGCTAAACGTATGAAAATTGGTCTATAAGTAGTCCACAGAGAGTGTAGATCGTCAGTACCATCAGCACCAAAATTGCTCAAGCTAGAACGAAGTTATGATAGATGCCGTCCACCTTCATTGTGAATCTCTTAATTCGATAATAGAAAGAGCTTTCGACATGATCAATGGCTCATTTTGTAGCCCTACATTATGGCTATTTCCGATATAAATTTTATCGAAGTCTATCGAGTTGTTGATGAGCTAGACGATTTTTACTGAAAACATGAATATACGCTAAAACAATAGAATGTCATTGAGAGGTCAATAACTCAGGAATAGTTTGATAAATCGATCTAAAATTTTTAAGAAATATTCTTCCATAGGTGGCCATCGCTTTCTGAAAGTTTCAGCAGCAAACACTTTACTAAACGGAAATGGTGCATCGATCACTATGGAGAACTTGTCAAGACTCTAGAGTCTCCATTAATCAAGCAAATGAGCTCATCTTTTGAGCAATAATGGATCATGAGTTCCCATGTAGCCGGAAATGCATAAATAATGGAAAAATCATGCATTACTGTCCATTATTTTGCGAAAAATGTCAAATAATTCATGACAATGCATTATTTTTTGCAATTTCAACGCAATCAATACATTTTTCACAAATAATGCTTTAATGATGGATAACGCATTGAAATTCAATGGATTGGCATGCATTTTCAGAAATAATATAGAAATCGCTCGAAATTCTATGGAAGAGCAATACATTTCAATGTATTGTTGAGTAATAATGTGATAATTAGGCAAAATGCTTTGAAGAAAAATGCATTTCCATGCATTATTGGAGATAGGGTGTGGGTGTGGGCGTGTATGTGCATGTGGGAGTGTGGGCAGGTATCAGTAAAGACAATGCCCACACCCACACGCACGCCCATACCCACCCACACCCACATAGACACGCGCACACACACATCTACACCCTCAAGCGCTTAAAGCGCTTCTTCCGAGATGAAATTCTAAATTTAATCAAAGAAGAGTACGATTATGTTAAATTCGTACCTAAAAAACCTTAAAATACAACTGCAGTTAGGAATAATTTTCACCATGCTGCATTGGAAAAAATAAGAAAAGATTTCCGGAGCCTCTATAATTTCTATCAACTCCGACTCCGAAAAAACAGATTGACTCCGATTTCGACACCGCCAGAGTTCGAAGGTTCTTGCAGATCTCTCGTGAGAATTAGGCTGTTTGATATTTTGCTTTTTTTTGTAAAATATTTGAAAACGAAGCTAGTAGATTGTTTCAATGACATTTGATATTTATAACGTAAAATATGGACGCTGATATTTTACTCGAAAGAAAATATTTTTTCTGATCAAACATGCATTACCATGAAACAGTATTTTGAAGATTATGACTGCTATCGTAACCCACCACCCTAGTAGATTCATGATGTCAAATTGGTTCATAAAATACGAGAGATCGAAATCCAGATAAGTGTAGAAATCAATTTTTTAAGACTATATTTATTTAATATTTTTCCCATAGTTTTAATTGTTAGACTTGTATTTCCACTTAATACGTTGAGTGAATGATAATATGACGAAAGAGAATACAGATGCTCGGATACAAATGCATTATGTTTGGAGCACGTCATTTTATAATCGATTTCTTTAACATGCCATTTTGTGTGAATAAAAAGAAAAAGTGCCGCTAAAAATCATGGCGATATATATAATGAACTTTATTGACAAATCAATTTTCAGTTTTCTTCATCTCGATAAATAGATAAACACATAGAAAGTTTCAATTTACTGCACTAAATTAAGATCTGTCTATCCAAACAACTCTAGATTCCAGAGTGCCTTAACATTAGGCTCGTAATTCAGATAAGGCTGAGCCTAATAGTGCCCAATTCAGGTGAGGCTCAAGCCTGTCAAGCGTATATGTTCCACCGCCTATGCTTTTGAATATCGTTTTACGTTTATTTCCTATCATATGAAAAGGAATATGTTCATGGTGATTTGTTGGGGGCATATCAGTTCATAACGAGAAATTTACATGGCTTTCGTAATGCGAAAGACCTGTTGTAATTTTTTTTACAGGGCTTTCGTATCGGTTTTGACAGGGCTTTCGTAACTAAGTTCTGTGTCGCATTCATAATCAGATTGAAGGACGAATACTCTATAAAACAACAGGGTATTCATGGGTGTAGGTGTGGGTGTGAGTGTGGGTGTGGATGTAGTTTTCTCATACCCACACCCACACTAGCACCCTAATCTCAATACGAAACCTTGTCAGCAGCATCTCACTAGAGATCACAATAAGTGCTTTGACGTTACAATAGCCCTGTAAGAGCAGTACGAGGGTCCTGTAAAATTGATACGAAAGCCCTGTATATTTTTATTACGAAAGCTCTGTCAAAATTTGATACGAAAGCCCTGTAAAAAAATCATGAAAAGCAGGGCTTTCGTAACGTATCGCTACGTTTCCGATTTGTTTTCGAACATTGGTTTTCGTAGAATTCCTATCATATGAATAGGAATATGTTCATGGTGATTTGTTTTTGAATATTATTTTTCGTTTAATTCCTATCATAGGAATAAAAATGTTTTCAAAGTGCGGTATAATCTTTCGTAGTCACCGTCATGACTAGTTTTTGAACATGGATTTTGAAATGACTAGCTGTTTTCCAGAGAGAAGAAACACGATTTGAGTGCCGGATTTGTGCATATATTGAAAGTGATGCGAGTGGATTCGGATGAATTAGGAATGACATTTTAAGGATATGTTAGAAAGTAAACCTGTGCTTAGTTAGGCTCGAATAGTTATCAGAAGGCTGAATACTATTTAAGCCAAGGATAAACACAATGAACAGAAATGCGTTAGGTGGTGTTTACATCTGCATGCATGAGCATGCATACAGTTTTGAATGCATTGTAATGGATTA